GGGTAGCACACCCAGTTTCAGCTCTGATAGGCAGGATTCTACTCTGTTCGATGTGCAGCAATGGTTTAGCCAATTCAGCAAGTACTATTTCTCAAGTAATGTTGCAAGGACTGAACTATATGTTGTCCTGCTCTGGGAATGATGCCTTACCATGAGTAACTATTGCTTGGGTAAAAATTTGCAAGTTATCTATTTCAGGCAAGTCACAAGCCCTCCTGGCTCAGAGAGGCCACACAAGCAGTGTACCCACACCAGTCCTCTGGAAGAAATACTCCCAATCAAAAAGCTGGCATTAGTGGGATCTGCAACAAGAGGCAGAGAGGACCAACATAGATGGTATAAACTCCATTCCTTTTTTTTCCCTATAGTTTTATTGCAATATAATTCACATATCATACAATTCATTCATTTAAAGCATACAATCCGATGGTATTGAATATATTCACAGAGTTGTAAAACTCACCAGTATCAATTTTAGAATAGTTCCATTATCCCAAAAGTAAACTTTGTACCCATTTCCCCCCAAACTTCCCAGCTACTGCAATACATTTTCTGTCTATAGATTTGCCTATTCTGGACATTTCACATAAACAGAACCATATAATATGTTGGTTGGTTTGTTCTTTGTAACTGGCTTCTTTCACACATTTAATGTTTTCAAGGTACATCCTTGCTATAGAGTGTATCAGTTCATTTCACTTTACTACTGAATATTCCACTACATAGTTACACCATATCGGTTCTTCATATGTAGTGGAATCTTTTACTATATGAACAGCTATTTTTTTTAAAAAAAGTTTATTTTTATACAAGAACCAGGGTACAGGCCAGATGTGTGGGAGGGTGAGAGGATTCACCCAAGACAGAGTGGGGAACAGAACAGGCCACCGACTGACCAAAATACTCTGCTGAGGGGAGCAGCGGGCGAGATAGGAGAGGTCTGCCCCACCACGTGGGTATCTCCGAAGCCGCCGGGGATCGAACCAGCACTACAGAGGCTGGGGACAGCTTCACAGCGCTGTGCTCAACCACCTGAGCCACCAGGGTTTAGGCTCCCATATTAACTCATACTTAACTCAAATTACTGCTGAAAAATACCATTAATTTGCACATTGCTAGTTTTCTAGAAGCATTATCATTTACCACAGTGTATCTGGATTAATGAAAACACTGAGAATGAAGCTGCTTATAGTTAAGTTAGTTGCTTAAAATTTTTTTCCTTAGTGCCTCCCTGGTGGCGCAAGAGATTAAGCACCGCACTATGAAGCAATCCACAGCCTCTGCAGCATGAGTTCAATCCCCAGCCAGCCAGGGAGAAACCCACATGGCGAGGCAGACCTCATCTGTCTCGCCCGTTGCTCCACTCAGCAGTGTATTTCAGTCAGTCTGCCTGTTCTGCTCCCCACTCTGTCTCTGGTGAATCCTCTCACCCCCCGCATCTTTGGCCTGTACCCCAGCTCTTGTATGCATAAATAAATCTTTAAAAAAAATTTTTTCCCTTAAACTGTAGAAAGAAAAACTTGCAAGTCCTAAGACCCAAACACCTCAGTACATAGCTATTTTTTCACACCTTCAGTGGAAGACAAACAGCAGACCTGCAAGTATATAAAGCTAGTTTCTGCGACTTCCCTTTCTTCTTGCTGGTCCCCTTCACCTCTTCCCCCATCTTTGACATCCAATTCCTTCTGTACTCTTCACTCCTTCCCTTTCCTCCAAACAAAACAACATCATTTATACCTGTTGACTAATTATTACTTCACTTTAAGTTAAAGTTACACATTTTCATGAAAATGTTACTGAAATCAGACATTTCTTTTTTAAGACATTCTCCCAAATCATAAAATGAGAATTAGTTCCCCTTGAATGAAGAATTTCCAGCATAATAAGGGGAGAGTTTTCTGTCTTGTTATTTGCAAGAGACCCTCTTAAATCACAGTAAGCACACTCCATGGCAAAGTGAATTTAGTCAGTCCTCTTAGGATAATGCATATCTAGGAGGAGGGTGGGAAAAATGTTATTAATTTGTTAGGTATGATAATGGTGTTGTGATTATGTCTAAAAATATCCTTATCTGTCAGAAATGCACTGAGGCATTTGGATGAAATGATGTGATATCTGAGATGTCCTTTAAAATATTTTAGTGGGAAGGATTTGGGGGTGGGGAATGAAAAAGACTGGTAATTCTTGAGAGCAGGTGACAGGTATATGAGTTCATTATTCTTTTGTTTTATGTACGTATGTATTAAAATTTCCATAGGAATACAGCTTTAAAAGACAGAGAGATACCACTCTCTTCTTAGGCAGTCTTTTGCACCTTCCTTTTTCCTTCATAGTATTTACTGTTGTTATTACATATTTCTAAAGGTTTTTTCTATTATTATTATGCTTGTCTGCCTGACTATACTTGAAGTTCCATTAGGACCACAAAGGTATTTGCTCAGCTCCCACAGAACCCCTGCCACACCTGTTTTTGGGCATGTGACAGGCATTCAACAAATGTTAGTCAGTGTAAGTCATACATGCATGTAGGTTAATACATGCTCAATTTTTAAAAAGGAGGAGGAGCCTACTGAAGGCCAGGAGCCTTTGGTTGAAGGAATTCAACATATTTACCCATATGTATTTGTCATTTAAGCTCACATGCTTTTCTGTCATAAAGTAGTAAAAAGTGTCATAAAACAAGATTTAATTTCATCTAGTTTATCCTCACTACATTCATGTGATGTGCTCAGCTAAGAAATACAATCTCCACTTATGAATAACAACGATGGAATGAAAAAGTTACGAAAGTTTTTAAAAGTGATAATGAACCAGACCCACAAATTAACAAAGTCAACTCGGTTCTCATGTCTCATGTTGCTCCTAAGGGAACAAAATTTTATTTGTAATAATAAAACAATAAAGTAAAAAGAGTAATATATTGTGCGTGTATGTGTGTGTGTTTATGTGTGTATACTCAACCTTCAGTACCTGAGAAACTAAGTAGCTGTCTAACAGTCTCATTAGAAAATATTTTATTTTGACTTTGCCAAAACAATTTCAAGGTTGAAGCACCTAGTGGCAAGGTATAAAAGGCAGATGAGGCATTTATACAATAATGAACACAAAGGTATATGGTGCTTGAGTAATTTGCAGCTTATTTTAAAAAACTAGTAGAAAGAAACAATACGGTGAGGGACAACTAAACAAGAAGATTCATATAGAATAAAATCAAATACCATGACAATGTTTAAAATACCAGTTCCCTTCATTCCCAAGTTTTAAATTTATCTCAAATGTAATATTATAATCAAGTTTCTACTTAATAATTATTTTATATAGAAATAGCCCATAAAATGTCAAAGTGCTTCCAAATTCTTTTGAAAAACGTTTACCTTAATATGTTAATATAAAATGATGTGCACATACAGAAAAGCGGAACTACTAAACATTTGCCATTAACAGAAGCATAACTATTTGTAAAACTTATCTTAACTCAACCAATCTGAACGCTCTCGTGCTACAGTGCCAAAAAAATGTAACAGCCACAGAGAACATGTAGGGCCAAACAAATCAAAGTCTAAAATAAGGTCTGCCACAAAACCTAAAAATTTAAACATAAATAGCTACATCATTTCGGTAAAAAACATTTTCTATATCCCAGCAAGCTTATGTTGGGGACAGAGTCTGGAAATATTTTTGCTCACATAAAGGCCTACAAAGAGGTAACTGGCCTGGGTTGTATTCTAGACTGGGTTGGTCTAGAGTCACTGAAGGCGCAACTACTACTGGTGGAGCTGTTGTTACAGACACTCCAGACATTGGATGTTACCCTCCATCCTTCAACTCATGCTTCTAATTTGCAGTACACTGAGGGTAAAGATTTACCTCATTCATTGAGAGTAAAGATTTACACATAAAATTTTCAAACAAAAACGTAAGATTTACTTGCCCCGTGGTGGCTTCTTAACTTTTTAAATAATTTATGAAAGCGCTGGCTGAGCATGAACTCCCATTCCAAAATAATCAACCAATACCTTTGAACCTTTTAATGTAAGCAGTAATGGAATACTGTCCTCTGAATGCAGACAGCCCCGCTGACCCACACGAGGCATTAATTTGTAGCTGTTTTTCCATCGGGGTGATGGATTTGCGCTCAGCTACTGACGGTGTCCACTAGGTCCCCCTGGTGACCAACAGTCCATGCAGGCAGTAGTAGGGTTCGAAGACACAGACTCGCAGCGGAATAGAGGGTGGAAAGGAAATCATGAAAATTAACACGCGCACAGTACACATGACATGACTGAGAATTACGTTAGCGCTGCTGGGGTATTTGATGTCGGCATCAGACACTGTCCCCTTTCCTTTGGGGAAAAAAAAAAGCAAAAAAAAAAAGCAAAGCCCTCCATCTCGCTCGGGCTTCCGAGCCCCGGCTCCCATTTAAAGCACGGGTGTGACGGAAGGACCGAACCAGGGGCGCAGCCCGAGGCGCACGCCGCTTCTGGGGCTCCGGAGAATCACCGCTGTGACAAATTGCCAGCCTTTCTAAACCACGGAGAGATGACACACCGCCTTCGCGGCCACCGACTGACGCCCCAGGACGGGGAGCCGCGGGCAGCCGACCTGTGGGGCCCACCGGACAGGGGGAGCGCCCCGCGGCGCGGGGAGCCGGCGGCACGTCCCAAACCCAGACCGCCGGGACCAGGACGCCCGGGGCGCAGGGCTGCACCCGGGGCGCGTCTCGGGGCTCGGGGGGCGCGCGGGGCGCGAGAGTGAGCCTGGGCGGGGCGGCGCGGGTCCCCAGCCCGGCGGGTCGGGGCAGCCTCGGGGGCGCGGGCAGCGGCGCCTCAGGGGTGGCGGCGCCCGGGCGGCCGGGGAGGGCGCGCCGCCAGGTGCCGAACGGCAGGGGGCGGCGGGGTTCGGGCGGGCGCCGAGCAGGGAAGGAGGAGGAGGAGGGAGGAGGGAGGCGGGCGAGTCCCGCGCGGCGAGGGAGGGCGCGCGGGCGGTCGCCGCCGGCCTACCTGGAGGCAGCAGGGTTTCCTTGGCCAGGCCCCCGCACAGAGACTCCTCGCCATGGTAATCACACATCGCCCCGCCGCGCCGCAGTCAGAGGCGGACCGAGCGCCGGCGCCCCGGCTCCCCGCCTTCCCTCGCTCCCCGCCCCCAGCCCGCCGGGCCCGCCCACTCCTCCGCCCCCGCCGCGGCGCGCGGCGCGCCCCCACCCCGGCCCTGCGGCGGCGACGGCGGCCCGAGGCCCGGCCTCCTGCTCCGCGCGCCGGCCGCGCGGCTGTCAGAGCCGCGGCCGCCGACTACGCCGTAAAGGGGAGTCGCGCCTCGCTTCGGCCGACGCAAATCCAACTGCGCCTCGCGCTTAAAGGGAGGCGTGCGGAGGCGGAGGGGGCGCCGGGGAAGCCGGGGAGTCGCGCGCCGGGCGCGGAGAGGGGCGGGCCCGGGCGGCGACCCAGCGGCCGGCGTCGGCCGAGTCGCGTGCTCGGAGCGCCCGGCTCCTCAGGCTGCCGCCGTCGCGCTCCCCGCCCCGGCCCGGCCGGGCTGACGCGCCGCTTGGCGTTTCCACTTCTTCAGAACCGGCGCGTTGGGCGGGTTGCGTGGAAATTCAAGGGGGGCTTGGGGTTCTGTCTCTGGGGCGGCCCTTTCCTTCCCGCGCAAGGTGGCGGGCCCCTCACCGCTCAATTCAGCGTGCACCCCAAAACCACTTCGCCTCTAGCGGCCCTAAAGCTGTTTTTTAGAATGTGCTTTATAAGATCTCTGACTTTTGTAGTTGTATTGTTTTCAAGCAGCTGCAGAGTTTTCCTTACCCCACCCAGGAGTCCTTTCAGAGGGAGAAAGTATTACCGAATCAACTCCAGCCCTGACCACTGGAGACCTGGGACGTGGCATCGCGGCTCGAGCTACATAACGCAGGGTGTGGTGTCTTTCTCTTAAAAGTCCAAATAAGGAAAAAAAGAACCACACTAGTGGGAGAACAGCTGTTGATCTGAATGACTGGCAGCGGAAGAAGGTGCTGTTTTTGCTTCTCTTTACCCCGCAGACCACCTTTCCACGTGATGCCAACAGCGTTTAGGTGGCCACCGAGAAGTCACTTGAACTCATTCTGGCCTGTGGCTCTGCCTTGTGGTTTCTCCAGGTGCAAACCTCTACTCACTCATTGTAGTTTTTACACGTTCTGTTCTGGTGCTTTCAGTTTGTGAACTATTTCTTCCTCTCTGCCCCTTCTCAGCCCTACACAGAGCTTTACGTTTTAAACCTGGGGAGTATTTTATTGTTGGTGGGTGTACCTGTTTTTGATAGATGCTCAGTTTGAGTTGAGACTTCTGTCATTTCTGAATAAGCTAACAATCGTGGATTCTACTGTTTTAATCCTTTCTTTCATTAATACAATAAATATTTATTGAGCACATACACATTGTCCTAGTTGATCCGATTAAAGATGAACGAAGCAAAAATTCCGGTTCTTGCAGCTTTTGTGTTCTGGGGATGGGACAATAGGTAATAAATTATATATGTCAAAATCAAATAGGATAGTAAAACTGATTGGGAATATAAAAAAAGAAATATCAATAGGAATAAGGAAGACTGCAGGTAGAGTAAGTTGAGAAGAACAGGAGTCATGTTACATTTGCGCTATCTATCTCTGGATTAAACAGTTGTATATATAAACTGGGGTACAGGAGATGATAATACTATTAAGACTGATAAAGCCTTGCAACTTCTAGGTGGGAAAAGCGGGTGAGCTTACAAAGGAGGCTGAGAAGGAGCTGCCAAGGAAAGTAGGAGAACCAAGAGTGAGGTGCCCCAAGAGCAAACAAACACAGTGCATCAAGGAAGAATGAGTGTTCATATGTGAGTGAGGACTGAGAACTGACCATTGGAGTTAGCACCATGGAGATTATTGAGGTCTTTTCAATAGAAGCAAAAAGACATTTAAAAAAAATTATTTATACATACAAGAACTGGGGTACAAGCCAGAGGTGCAGGGGAGTGAGAGATTCACCAGAGACAGAGTGGGGAGCAGAACAGGTGGACTGGCTGAAATACACTGCTGAGAGGAGCAGCAGGGGAGTCAGGAGAGGTCTGCTGCTCGGTGTGAGTCACCTTCCTGGCCAGGGATCAAACTCATGCTGCAGTGGCTGAAGATAGCTTCATAGGTTGTGTCTTAACCCCTTGCCCCGGAGGCCCCCTGAAAAGACATTTAACTGGAAGGAGTTTAAGAAAAAATGTGAGGAGAGGAATTGGAGCTGACTAATATAGATAATTCTTTCAAAAATTTCTCCTACAGGGCCTCCCCGGTGGCACAGCGGTTGAGCACTGGGTTGCGAAGCTGCCCACAGCCTCTGCAGCACTGGTTCTATCCCTGACAGCTCCCCGGCCATCGGAGGAGGGTCCCACATGGCGCGCAGACCTCTCCTGCCGCCCTCTGCTCCCCTCAGCCGTGTACTTCGGTCCTTCTGCCTGCTCTGCTCCCCGCTCTGGCTCTGGTGAATTCTCTCACCCTCCCCACGCTTCTGACTGTACCCATTGCATGTATAAATAAACAAACAAACAAACAAATAAATAAATAAAAAAGGAATTCCTACTCTTAAAAAAAAAAAAAAAATTTCTCCTACAAAGGAGAGTCTCGAAATGGAGTAAAAAGTAGGTTGACCAAAAATTGGGAGAAATATTTGTTTTTTATGAGAATGATCTGGAAGAGAAGGAAGAGTCTCAGAAATTGGGGTTGGGGGAGAAAGGGTTTGAATTGGGTGATATAAAGAGCATTGAGTGGGTGAGTGGCCAGGAGATGAGAAGGACCTGGAATTTCTCATGGTAGGAGATAGAAACAGGAACAAGGACAAAGGTTGAACCAAATGAGTAAAAATGATTGTTCAGTTTCCATTTAGAGTCAAAGATTAAACAGTTAATATTTTTTTTAATTTGAAAAGGGAAAATTAGCTTAGATCATTTTCACTTCAAACTTGGGTTGTTTCTCATGGGCCTCCCTGGTGGCGCAGAGGTTGAGCGCTGGGTTGCGAAGCTGCCCGCAGCCTCTGCAGCGGCCCAGGGTTGGATCCCCGGCCACCGGGCGAGAGTCCCACATGGCGCGCAGACCTCTCCTGCCACCCACTGCTTCCCTCAGCAGTGTATTTCGTCAGTCTACCTGTTCTGTTCCCCGCTCTGGCTCTGGTGAATTCTCTCACCCTCCCGCGCTTCTGACTGTACCCAGTGCTTGTATAAATAAATAAATCTTTAAAAATAAAGTAAAATAAAAACTTGGGTTGTTTCTCTCATTACCACATGTCCCAGGATCCTGATAGAGAAACCTGGGGTTAGCCCCTCAGGTCCATGCTGGGAACTCCAAAAAGATGGGTTCCATGAATCCTTGTACTATTGAACTTGTACTTTAGGCTTTAAATCCACGTGTATATGTCCCAAGATGGACCCAAACAGGTTGGTCTGTGTCAAATTTAGGTAGGAACTTTTTACCTCTTGATTTGGTCTCCTTTTCACTCCCTACAGTGGTCCTATGAATTCTTGATTTTGTACATTGAACCTACCTTAAAACACCTAAAATTGGGGCCTCCCTGGTGGCATAGGGGGTTAGGATGCAGCCTATGAAACTGTCTGCAGCCACTGCAGCACGAGTTCAATTCCTGGCCAAGGAGCTACCCACATGACGCAGCAGACATCTCCTGACTCACCCGCTGCTCCCCCCAGCAGTGTATTTCAGTCAATCTGCCTGTTCTGTTCCCTACTCTGTCTCTGTGAATCCTCTTACCACCTCCCCACACACACACAGCTCTGGCCTATACCCCAGTTCTTGTATGCATAAATAATCTTAAAAAAAAATAACAACACCTAAAATTGCCTGTTTACCTGGCATCCACTCTTATAGAACTTAAAAGTTACTGCTTTTCTAAATAAACGTTAGCTAATAAAAACAAATCTATATGGTTGTACTCAGAGGTGAAAATTTGTGTCAACATGTGTCAAATTTGTGTCAAAATTTTTAGTCAACATGTGCAATGTAACTTTGGTCTCCAGAGACAAAGGAGTAACTCCAGTATTTTTTTTAAATATTTATTTATTTATGTATTTATGCATACAAGAACTGGGGCATAGGCCAGAGATGTGGGGGTTGGGGGGGAGAGAGGATTCACCAGAGACAAGAGTGGGAAACAAAGCAGGCAGATCTACTGAAATACACTGCTGAGGGGAGCAGCGGGGGAGACAGGAGAGGTCTGCTGGGCCATGTGTGTTGGCTCCCTGCCAGGGGATCAAATTCATGTTGCAGTGGCTGGTCATAGCTTCATAGAGTTGAGACTTTAACCCCTGCACCACCAGGGAGGCCCCTAAAGAAACATTTTTTCAATTGAAAAAAAATCACCATCCATTGAACTACCTCACCTCTTCCCCTCTGGTAGCTCCAGTCTTTAACCCATTTTTAATTTATTTTTGTGTGATGAGTTAGATAGTGGTCTAACTTCTTAATTTTGTATATGACTGTCCAGTTTTCCCAACACCATGTGTTATTAAAGGTATTTTCCTTTCACCATTATATCACCCCACTTCTTTGTCAATAAGTGTCAATAGATTGTCAATAGAGGTGTGGATTTATTTCTGTGCGCTTTTTTTTTTTAAGATTTATTTATTTATGCATATAAGAGCTGGGTTATAGGCCAGGATGCGGTGGGGGAGGGGGTGGTGAGAAGATTCATCAGAGACAGAGTGGGGAACAGAACAGGCAGGCTGACTGAAATACACTGCTGAGAGGAGCAGTAGGCTACATAAGAGCCATCTGCCTCTCCATGTGGGTTGCTCCCTGGCTGCCCAGGATCGAACTAATGCTGCAGAGGATGTGGATTGCTTCATAGTGTGGTACTTAACCCCTTGCACCACCAGGGAGGCCCACCCATGTTTTATGTGAAATTCCCCAGAGACTACGATAGGCAAAGGAATTCTTAATTTAATACTTTTGACCTGACATCCTGACATCCATTGGATAGCATAAGATATTGGTAAGGTAAGGTGTTGACTGACTTTGCACCTCAGGAAAAATTATATCTGTTGTGATTTAGTCATGAGAAATAGACTAAAATGAGGGACTAGTCTCTCTTTTATTTCCTATGAAAAAGAAAGT